AAGTTGAAGAGGAGATACTTTTACGATGTAAATGACAGTAGAAATAAGTCCTACATATGTTGTTGTACTTCGTATTGGTTTAATATTCATGTAGAGTATGAGACATTAAGTGAAAGTTTTCTGAGGTACATCTGCAATTGTCGGAAGGCAAAAATAAAGAAATAAAATAAATAAATTGACATTGGGATGACCGGACATGGCATTTTTTTCTCAGATAAAATGAGTGCGTCGGGTGGCGTGGCGTGTGGTGCGGCTTTTAGTTTCATTGCCCCTGCGTCTCTATTGTCTTTCTAGCGTAGGGAAAAATAAATGGCAGGGCAGCAGACAGGCACCACCAGACAGTCAAGGTTTTGTGTGTGGGTGGTGACTAACACGGGAGATGACACGACCAGCTGCTACTGCTACTGTATCGACGACTATCATACACACAATTTCGTGGAGTTCTGCTGTTGTTTGCATATAATTGCGATGAGCGACACAGGACATAGGACGCCTGTTTGGCGCTACCTCCCCGGTTTTACTGTTCACCACCACACCTCCACCACCACCACCACGCACCTGCTCGGTTTGTTAGAGGAAGCCATTGCTGTGTGCTGTGGTAACGCAAGAGGTGCTGCGATGGCATAGACTACATGTCCAAGGAAAGACGTGGTGTGTGTAGAGAGAGAGAGACCAAAGAAGGAGAGCCAAGATACAGCACCTTGACTCCTGTGCTCGGACGGACGAACAATCTTGACGCTTCTTCTTCGGGTTCCTCTTTGGGTTTGATGGCCCAAATACTCTTCCTTATAAAGCTATCTCGGGCTGTTAGAGAAAGCCATGGCTGGGTGCTGTGATGTAACGAAGGGGGTGCTGTGGTGACATATGCATACATACATGGTGTTTTTTTGGAGACCAATTAGAGTACATAATAGAGCAAAGATACATNACGGACGAACAATCTTGACGCTTCTTCTTCGGGTTCCTCTTTGGGTTTGATGGCCCAAATACTCTTCCTTATAAAGCTATCTCGGGCTGTTAGAGAAAGCCATGGCTGGGTGCTGTGATGTAACGAAGGGGGTGCTGTGGTGACATATGCATACATACATGGTGTTTTTTTGGAGACCAATTAGAGTACATAATAGAGCAAAGATACATCCTGTGCTCGGAAGATCTTGACACCTCCTCTTCGGGTTTGGTGGTACAGATACTCTTCCTAATAAATCTGTCCCTTTGGGAAAGGAAGCAGAGGAAGCCATCGCTGGGTGCTGTGGTGTAACGAAGGAGGGGCTGTGGTGACATATGCATACATGTGTAAGGAAGGACGTGGTGTGTGTGTGTGTGGAGACTACGAAGGAGAGCCAAGATACAGCAGTTGAATCCTGTGCTCGCCGATTGGCGCTTCCTCTTCGGTTTTGGTGGTGCAAATAGTCTTCCCTATAGAGCCGGTGAATNATATGCATACATGTGTAAGGAAGGACGTGGTGTGTGTGTGTGTGGAGACTACGAAGGAGAGCCAAGATACAGCAGTTGAATCCTGTGCTCGCCGATTGGCGCTTCCTCTTCGGTTTTGGTGGTGCAAATAGTCTTCCCTATAGAGCCGGTGAATCCCTTTCCGCGCCGGTGTGCCTCAATACGTGCTTGTGGCAGTTGCTGTGGTGCCGTCAAAAGTGGCCATATTTGTGGGGTTCATTGAAAACATTACGGCGTTTTGGTACAGGGGATGGGCTTGTTTTGTCCCCGTACATGCCAAAAATTTTGACATACATCAACGTACATGCTATTATCATTTCCCGCAATTTGCGGCCCCCCCGAGTTGGTCGGTCGGGTTGAGTCGGGTCTGCTGAAACAAAACGCAACAACAATACGACAAGTAGACACAGAAGCCATGAGCTGCCCAAACGCGTTCGTGAAGAAAGAGTGGGAGATCAATGAGTTTGAACCCATGCCAGCTCGGCCCTACCTGGACGTGGTCGATCCTTGCGCCCGTTGCCGCGGGTCTGTACACAAATCAACCTCGAGCAAGCCCTGGGAACAGTGCATGAGACAGCGCAGGCAGTGCCTTAGGAGAAACGAGGATCACCCTCTGCCTCCAATACGGCGGGTTCCTATTGACGAGGTGAGTGGGATCGCACCAGCCATCCTTGTGCTTTTGCTTTCGCGGTTAAAGTTGGTGTGTTGGCTGTGGCGCACAGCGCCTTTGTGTTGGTGTCTCTTGGTGTCTCATCAATTTTTGAATTCGACGTACCGCACCAGCAGGTGACGTAAGGTATCATACCCTTTGGACAGATTTTCAAAGCTCGATTACTCCACAGCAGAAAGAGTGGTGGGGCCGAAAATTGCGGCGTTGGAACCGTCTCATCGATAGATTTTCGAAAACGTATCGTTGGGCTTGCAAATCCTCGTCTATGTGGGCTAAATTGAGCTGTGAATATTGATCAAGGGGGTGGTGTGATGTCCACTGTATGTCACTTGCGTCTCTCCAACTAATGAACACTCATGTAATAAGCCTCTCAACTCTCCCCACCATGACCGCTGAGTACCTCACCTTTCGTGAAACAATTACGATACACATCGCAGCTATCGGGTGACACCTTGGGATTGAGGGCTTGGAAGTTGCTGCGCAATTGCTTCTATTGGGATAACATTGTATAAGCGGTACATGATATCTAGAATCGTTGCAGACTGGAGTTACTTTTCAAAGCTGGGATTGGCCAGCAGGCACATTTTTTTGCTGCTGCACAGATGGCTATTGCCTTTTCGTGGGAAAGCTTCCTCACTGTGCGCGTAGCCATCCCAAGATTTGAAACTTTTGCGATCCGCGTCTTGGGTGCTGAGGAGTGCTGATGAACTAATACTGGTTGTACCGCAGCAGTCGAGATTTCAAAAATGGATCCAGAGGGTGTGGTGTCTTGCGCGACCAACCGGTAGGCTAATGATCCTTCTTGGCTCTCGTTGCGCCAGCTACTGGACCATAAGGCTTGATGCGAGTCGATTTTCGCCGACTTTGACAGGCCGACTACGATCGCCGTATGTATTGGCGATAAAAAATGGAGCAAATCATGCGTTCGCTCGCAGTCCTCTACCTGTATGTACGCCATGGTTGAGTATCGACCGAAGCGTGTAAGACCTTATCATTCAGGCCGCCCTAGGAAGCAGTTTCGCCCCAAGAGCTGAACAAGTCACGTGAAGAAGCAGGGACGAGCTTCGTTTCAGTTTTGATCGTTCAGCACGTCTGCCATTCAAAGCCGAATCAAAGGGCAACAGCATCTTGCCTACGCGGGTATGACTTGCTTGGGTCGCCCCTATACTTTGGTAACAAGTCAAGGTCTGTGTCGAGCATCACGAGGTGGTCAAAGAACAAGACTTAGCCAGGTCCAAATTGGGGAGGGAGTGACAAATACAAATGCCGCCGAAACCCGAATCTTGGATTTTCGTGGGCTTATCTCCTTGTGTTACCTGATCGAGGATATTCGGCCAGGTACGAAACCTACGGCACGATGCTGACCGTGAGGAAAAACCACGGACCTGCCATAACGTCTGCAACCTTTCGTGCGCCCGCGGGTTGGAGCTTCTGCCCGGCACAAACGCTGTGTGTGAGCGAGTGACGAAAAAACCCTTGTAAGCCATACCCCACTACGTTTCTCGACCCGTGTTTATCGTCTTGTATTCTCCAGCTCGACGAAGATAGGGACTTTGCGTGTGTTTTTCAGGCCGATGGCAGCGACACCATTACGTGGGACAAGGAGACCCGCTGCAGGGTGAGAGCAAAAAAGTGCCCGATAGTCTTTCGAGTGCTCGCCGGTCCCCGGTGTTTATTCGACGAACCAACCCACTGCACGCTGGTTGTTCAGCATTCATTTTCTGACCTTGCTTTCCCGAAGGCGAACTACCGCGCACGATGGCGTGCAATGTTGAGGCCCGCTTCGGGCGGCTTGTTGAACTGTTCCTTTGACTTTTCATCGCAGTATCTACACACGTACGTGCGTCGTGCGTCCACTAGTTCCACCGCTGTAGGTCCCGCTACCGGCAGCGGATTGGTTCGTTCGTTTGTTTTTGGTGTGCCCCGATGGTGTAGTAGCTAACCTCGCAACCTGCGCGTAGCAGGTTGTGGGTTCGAATCTCTCTCTGGAGGGCGTTCTTTTCCTAGTGCAATTTTCAGCAGAAACTGGCAAGTTCGTGAGTACTCACGCTCGGGCTTGACGGCCGGCGAGGGCAAGGGGCGGATTCCCCCAGTAAAAAGTACTTCGTAAGATATTCCGCGGGAGGAACCATAGGGCACTAAAGAAACAGCTCCGGTGTTACCTTCCTCCTGTGCGACTCCGGCTGATCCGTGTCACACACACAAACCGATAGGTATGTAAGTCTGCCGCCAGAATAAGCGGGACGGACACACACACGCGTGTTGCCTTAATAGGTTCCTTGCGACAAGTGCTGGAACCTGGCGCAATGCCTGAGGATGAAGCACACTCTGGACCCGCATGACATCGCCTTCCTCGACATCGATGACGCCCCGGGGGTTACCCCAGCCAAGCGTTCGTGCAAGAATAGCAGCCCTTCTGGCTCCGCGACGAAGGTGTGAACCGTGTAAGGTCATGAGGATGATAAGAACGCCTTACGTGAGGATTGTATCATTTGTCTTAAATTATGAAATAGAGAGGGAGGTTTCGTACCCCTATCCTAAACACTAACTTCCGCCCCGTATTCCGTACCAAAACCAAGCTTGTTATCCTCGCCAATGCTCCTGTGATGTTGTTCGATAGGTCGTTGGCACATCGGTTCTAGGTGTGTTTATCGAGGTATCAGCTGCTCCGAAGTGCTATCCGCTGCTGGCCCACACGGAAAGGGAGCGCAGGGGCTCTGCACTCATGTCAATTCTCAGCGACCAATGAGTCCTCGTTCGTTACATATCATCTCTAGTCACTCGTGGTTGATTTTTTTGTGAGTGGTAACCCTCAGGCCCGGAAAGGAAAGGTACGCGTGAGTCTTCGGTCGCGTGCTCTGTGGTCACGTTGTTGATGTGGCGTTCTGCACCCCTCTCTGTGCGTCGCGTCTCCCCTCTCCTCTCTTACAATCCCCGCTGGGTTTGCCATGGCCTTTCTTTTGCCTCTACATCCTACACCAACGAACCCGATAGACCCCGGGGTCAGGAGAGAGGGCCCCGAAACGAGCGCGCACAAGCCCGAGTAAGGGCCTGGTCGTGGAGCCAAGAGCCGCCGGAGGGTCTTGCCCGCCCGCCCCACCTGTCGCTCCCACTCCCTTTCCCCTTTTACCGCCGAGGCCTCCCGTGGCGCCGGTCTCGGTGACGGGACCGACGGTGCCCCTGGTAAGCAGCACGCGCTCGTACTACTCCGCAGTGGGATGCTTCGATCGCAGAGGTAACCCCATTTTGAGGGGTAACCCCGTTCCGGACGTGGGCAAGGGGAAGGGGCCGGCTCGCAAACAGTCTGCGGGCGGCGGCGGCGGCGGCGACGGTGGTGCTAGTGGCGGCAGCGATGAAGCTGGGGGTAAGTGTACCCCGCGAATGCCTTCTCCAGACGCGGGTGCAGGAGCGGGAGCCGGAGTAGGAGCGCGGAGGAATCAGGTGAGACGACGAGGCGAGGACGGAAGAGACCAACAAGGGGCAAAGGTGAACAGGTCCGCTCGCTGTTGTGTCTTCGCTGCTGGGGTTCACAATGGCCTTGAACTGATCCCAAAACATTCGAAATACCACAGCAGAATGTTCGGGCGGGCAACACAAAAGAAACGTATCTTAGTCCTGCCGCTCAAATTCGATGAGTCCAGTTCCGTTCCACCTTCTTCGCTCTCTGTGTTTTCGTGGCGTCACGACAGCTGTATGCCTCGAACAAGCGAAATGACATCTACATGGACAAGCTTCGCGAGCTGGTGCAGCTGGCGGCCAGCAAGGTTAAAGAGACGAGCGACCACCTCGTGGACCTGGACAACGTCAAGAAGTACGCGAGGGCTCAGATCAGGGACGCGGAACGCCTTCTGAGTTCGTCCGAGATCAAGGAGCAACAAGCGCAGGCAAAGCTCGCCCGGTTCAAGGTCGAGGTGCGCAGACGCAAGACGCTCCCCAGGCCGTGGCGATGAGCGCGTCAAGGTCGAAACTATACGTGTGGTCGTTTTTGTACGGTGTGCAATGTTTTTACCCGAGAGCACGTGGTGTTCCCGGGCGTGCTGTGAGATCGACTGTGTTCACATCGTCGTTGACTCTTCACGGTTTGGTTCATGTTTAAGTTGGCGATGGAAGAAAACGGTAGCTGCTGCAACGTGCGCACCGGTAGCCCCGGCGGCTCGCTTGGTAAATCTTGCGGCGTTTTGATTGCGGAGGCGTTCGCATCTCGGCGCAGTCACACGGCCTGGACTCATCTCTCACATCACATGCCCCACGACAGCGGTGCAGAACACTTGTAGTATGTAAGTATTTCAGGGGTACACAAAAATGGTCGGCCGAAATGCTCAACCTAGCTCTCGAGAAGGTTACTGAGCAGCCCTTCTCGCTAGTGAACGGAAAGACAAATCCTTGCTGTGGAGGTCTTCCTCTTTGTGACCCGGCTGGGGCGTCGACGCTCACCGAAGGGCGCAATCTTCGGTTCAAGGATAATGGGATGACAACATACACCATGACAGTGCATGTCGGCTGTCGGCATGAAACCTTTCGATGACTTCCTTCTGCCGCCCGGCCTGTGTTGACGTTTTTATATCTGCTGCGATGCAGGAAGCCGAGGCGAAGGGCCTGCTGAAACAAGCGCTGGTTGGTAGCGCTCAGAAGCTTCAGGCCGAAGCGGCGCGATTGGAGAAAGAGGTACCCTCCCCGCCGCGATTTTCCTCGGTAGCCCGCAGGCTGTCATAGGGCAACTGGGAGACTGGAAAGTTTGTTGTCGGGTGCGTGCTCTTGACAAGTTCACTTGAGGTGCATGTAGGTGCCGTGGCTTCGACGAAAGAGCTTCCCTACGTGGCCGGCGGCTTCCCCTCTCTTTTCCTTGGCCCCGTGTCACGCCTTTCTTGCCTTGTTCGAAGGTAGACTGTTCTTGATGTCCTTCCTCGTTGGATGCTGCGGTATCTCGTTCCAACACATGTGTCACCTGGGTCATCGTCGTCGTTCCTGAGCAGGCGCGGTTGTTGCCATAGCCGGGCGATCACTTGCAGTGGCTGGACAATCAAGTGCTGAGGCCATTGAGACTTGCGGGTGGCAATGGCAATTATAGAATGTAGTGGAGGGACTCCGGCCAAACAATTCGACGAGAACAAATATTACAACTGAATGGGAATGATTTTCTTAGGTATTGTGCAGCGCCAAATATGATTTCTGTAAAGGTGTACCCCGTTAGGGTAGTTGACTTCATTCCGCGGAAGGCGTCCGCGTCAGTTGGACCAGTACGGACAATTGAAGGTACTGAGCGGAGACCGGAACAGTTTTTTCGATGTGAGGACAACAACCACAAATCTGGGCCATCTGCCTCTACCTCGGCGTGCGTCACACGTTGAACGTTTTCCGCTCACACCATCTAGCTAATGTGGTCAACCCCGTTAGAGAGTGTGGTCACTATGTCGAATCTACATTTGACGTGTGCCCACCGCCTTAAATGTCCGCCCCATGGTGCTTTTTACGAGTTGTAGAGACCGCATTTGTCCCCGTTGTGAAAAGCGACTCGCCAATGCGTCGTAATTTTTTGGTACCGTGTTTGGCATCTAAGTGCGCTGTTCTATTCGTTTGTAGGTGGCTGGTTTCAACATATTATATGCATAAGCGAGCGCGTGTATCCGCTTTACCCGAAGGCAGTGTAAGCGTTGTCGCAAACGTTTCCATTTCTAGGACCAACTTGCTTCGGTCGTGGCCGGGTTCCTTGACGCCGTGCTCGTGACGGAATATTGACACCTTGCGCTTTTTTCTTAGTGTTTGGAATGGGCTAAAACCGCCGGCTGTCGCAATGGTAGTCGGTTGGCGCCGCTGGATATGGCGCATAGCCCAAGACCTCCTGTGGGTGTCGACTCTGTGTTTTGGTTGGCGCTTGATCGAAGTCATGTGTGTCAAGCCGAATTCCACACTACACCATCAGATTTCGCCGTCGTCGCGATATTGTGTCCGATCCTTTCGTGTTACTAGAACTGTTGATGGAGCTTTTCCTCAGCTGCAGCCAGCGAGCAGGTTCGTGATGAGGCCCTTGATGATATATGAAATGCCGTTGCAAGCGAGAGAGAGTGTGGGAGCGCTGCTACCGATTCGCTGCCCTTCCGTGTTGGCCCTGGCAGCCATCGCCAACCCACCGCACGCCAAATTGGACGGGAACAATCGACCCATGTGGTAGAGGTTGTCGTCACATTAAAAGCCGTTCCGGTCTTTGTTCAGTACCTTCTGATATGCGTACTGGTCCAACTGACAAAAGGAAATGGTCAGGCTAGTCCTTGGTCGAAACAAAAAAAGGTTGGGTTCACCGATTCCCCGGGGCAAGCACCCTCTCAGGTACCACCCCCCTCCCCGTCAATCCCCTCAACAAAACTTCCCCTGTCCCTCTGCCAGGGCTAGCCCTTCTCATGCCATCCTTGTTGTGGTAGCCTTCCACAAAGCAACGCTGACAGATATGGCTGTCAACCGCCAACTCCCCTCTCGAGCTGCTAAACCTGTCAATAGAAGCCCTTTGCAACCGGAAATGTGAGGTCAACACTCTGACTCACGCACCCGCCGAATGCCAATGTGTACCTCTAGGTGACGCCAGGCAGATGGCAAAAAACGCCTTCTAGGCGTTTCCACCTTTCCAAGTTTGCAAAGAAGCACGTCGGCCGGTCGCCAAACATCTGCTGCTAGGGTTGAAGTCCTCCTTGACGCGGCCGCCGTCACACAGCCGCCTGTGGTTGGCGTCAACCTCAAAGAAGGCGATCGCTCCCGCAACATGTTTGGCTCGTAGGTGTTTCCACCTGGAATTGCCGCGCAGTTTGGGTTGGTGGCACGCGTTGCAGACGCGCACCCCGTCCAACAACATGCCGCACCCCTCTTCACCACAAAGAGGTCGGGGTCCTCGTCGGGGCCCTCGGTTTTTTCATGCACTGGTTTGGGTGCTGCGAACGCGGGCTGTGACCCACTACCGCCACCCCTCGTGCTTGCGCGTGTCCGCCGACGGTGACCGTGTGCTGCTCGTCGCTGGTCGCCCCCCCGCCGGTCTGACCAGTCTCAATGACCCGCGGGCAACGGGAGTGCCAATCACTGTCTGCATCGACTTTCTCCACCCCCGCTCTCCTGTCCGGGCCAGCGGCCGACCCCGAGACAACGCTTGTTGACGACGGCATGGGGGCAACATCTACAGGCACCGGCGGCCTATTACGACCACCATCATCAGGAGTAGACTAGTGCCACTCCTCACGCGTTCTGACAATTTCATGTCAAGCACTAGACACTGCTGCTGGTGGGCCTGACGTGTCCCGGGATACCCTTTTTCCAAGTACTTCCGCCGTTCGTTCCATCCGCACCTGCTGTGGAAGAAGATGTTGATCGCGCGTGAGTTTCGAGCAGGTATCAATCACCTATTGTTACCGTTGTCCTTTGGACCTTGTGGGTATATCCTACGGCCAATAAAAAGTTTTTCACTCTACGACACAATGTTTTTCTCTCTCTGTCCGATATGTTCCTGTGTCGTTCGCTCATGAAGTGTTTTCTCTTGTGACACACTGTCACCGTTTTTGCCGCTCTCCCTTCATTTCGTGATCTCTCTATGGTTATCTACAAACACTTGCTTCACAGGTTTCGTTCGGTACTCAAACGTCACTGACGCCGATCGACCGCGAGGAGGAGGACAACGGCTGCCGGGCTCCTCGGACGTTCCACGCGAAAGGACAACGACAAGAGTGTGCGAACGCGGGGCAACCACCTCCGTCCGTCCCTGACGTCCATATATTTGTGCTGCCAGCGTCTCATCAAGGTGGTAGGGGGTTCCTGCGCAACGAAATTCAAAAACTGTTCGTTCAAGTGATACAAACGCATGTATCGCTGGTGGATTCAGTGCGCATAACTCCTGCGTCCTGAAGAATTACTGAATTTCCCGTGGATCCCCAGGGTTCCTAATCGGAAAAAAAAGAATGGAAATATATTCCCCTACGATTTCTCCTCCCCACCGATATTCCCACACAGGTAATTTTACTTTGACCGTTAGTCTAGACTATGGCGCTGGGAACTGAAGATAGATGCCGATTTATTCGGCAAAATATCGATTAAGGTTAGTCTAGACCACCATGGACTAGCGGTATGGGCGGTCGCACCAGCAATTCCTTCGACTTGTTGTGGGACTAGCAAGAACTGGAGTTCGCCGACATGCCCGTCGACCAAGCGAAAATACCTTCGATGACACGACCTACTACACTGGAAGAAAGAATAGGAAAGGCTCGCGAGAGGATCGTGTACTCAGGTCACGATCTTCTCGCGGGCCTTGTCTATTCTTCCCTCCGGTGCGAGCAGGTTGTGCGAGCACGTCTTTGCTTTGTCGACGGACAAGTCCGTGAACTCTATCTACTTCTTGCTGGCCTCGCAGGTCGAGGAGTTGCTGATGCGACTGCCCATACCGCCCGAGAACAACAGGTACTCTGTGAGAGGAACCATGTGGTAGAGAGCACCGTTTCCCTGTCATGAAGTAGGTCAAGATTCTGGTTCGGTAGTCGACACGTATTATTTGAGTCTGAGTTCCTTTTTCGCTTCCTGGTCTTGCTTCAATAGTCTAATTGTGAACATCCTGAGGCTGATTGTTCGTTCTTTGCGTGAGTGGTGCAATGCCGTGTGTGCCGCGCGTTCTCCTTCCTACAAAATCTGCTGCAGCTTGTACTCGGTATGCACAATGCTACACTTGCTGCTGGGCGCAACGTCCCCTCTTGACCCTGTAATTGCATGCTGGCTCGCGCCTTACCTTTCCTGGCGGGCGCCCGGTTTTGCATGCTGACTTGCACCTTTCGATTCTTCGGCGTTGCTGCGCCTTGGAGAGTACGCGTCGCTACGTAGTAGCACAAGATGCTGTGCCCCATTCGCAGGTTCCGTGAAGCGGGCTGTAAAGCTAGCCCCATGAAAAGCAATACTACTGCAGGTGGCCCGATATAAAGTGGCAACTTGAATAAAAGTGGAACTGCCGATAACGTGGCATCAAAATATCTCATCACAATCTCAACATGTACATGAACCCGATATGTATCTCGAATTGTGGCGCTGCCCTGAAAAGTGGCATATTCTCCTCTTGCCCCTACATGCCACTATATCGGGCCACCGACTGTACGTCGAAGAAATTTCTTCAGACATCCCGAGGGGGTACCTCAAGGATGTGCAAAAAAAATACTTGACAACTTGTACAATACTCACTTCCTATTTGGGAGGATTTTTTCGGTGGGGAGGGTACGAAGTGACCATCCCCTCTCCATAATAAATCCTATACAAAACCGACACCATTCTAATTCCTATACATATATGAAGGGGCACCGTGACTGAATAGGGAAGGTATTGTGCATCTGGGTGCCCCTAGCCGTGTGCGCTCGTCCGCGCTCGGCGCGCCTGGACTCTGTGCGGCGTACCACACCTAGACGACGAGAGGGAGGGCATGATCAGCGCACAGTCAGGGGGTGTCATCGACTTCATAAGTCGCGAGGGAAGGGATTGCTGTACCCTTCTCGCGATAACAATATCTCAGGCAGGAACTGCAGGAGGGGGTCCAACCCCCCCCTCCTATGGGACCCCGGTTGGGTCGTCTAGCTAGTAGAAGTGGAGGATGGGGGCCAGAGGGGCAGACGACAGAATCCAATTGTGAAAGAAAAAGAAAAAGGCCTAGCCCAGGTTGTTGCGGCGCAAGACCATACCCAAAAGAAATATTCTGGGCGCGCAGTAGAAGAAGTAAACTCGGAGTCCAGCGAAGAAAGGGAGATGGCATTGTGAGGACGAGGGAGGGAGGGTAGGGGTCGAGGTAAGGCGAAGAAGACGAGCAGGAAGGGGAGAGGAGGAGAACAAGAAGAAGGAAGAAGAGGGGCGGTACGTACTCTCGACGGGGCCTAAACTCACCCCGGAACGGCGCTGATATAGTTTGACGTAGTTAGTCGTGCGTACGAGAACGTCGGAAAGTGAGTGGAAGGCGGAACGAACGGTAGACGAACGGAACCCTAACCGTATGTATCGTGGTTTCCGTCGAGCTTTGAGAGGTTCTTTTCGTGCACGCGCGTAGAGGCGTGATGATATTCGGGCCTTTGAGTTACTGAAAACTGATTGAACGACGTCATGTGCATGGTGTGTGGCGTCGTCAACAACACTACGCATGTATGTTTGGACGCTGCTGTATATTAGTGTCACACGCTGTGCTTCATCTGTCTGTGTATGACACGACAGGTTGACTTGCACTATTGAATGCATACAACAAAATCACAAAAACACGGGGGAAGAATGTTTTTCTGAAATTGGGCCCTCTACACTAAACCCTCTAGTCAATATAGGGATAACCAAGGGTACACGTGAAACAAATTTTAGAAACATACCCAAGTAGGCCTACTAATCGAAAATCGGGGTCACTTGGGGGGGGGGGGGGGGGGGG